TTTTTATTTTTTATTTATTTTATTTTTAATTTTATTTATTTATTTTTGAGACGGAGTTTCGCTCTTGTTGCCCAGGCTGGAGTGCAATGGCGTGATCTTGGCTCACTGCAACCTCCACCCCTCGGGTTCAAGCAATTCTTCTGTCTCAGTCTCCTGAGTAGCTGGGATTACAGGTGCCCGCCACTACACCAGACTAATTTTTCGTATTTTTTTAGTAGAGATAGGGTTTCACCATGTTGGCCAGGCTGGTCTCGAACTCCTGACCTCAGGTGGTCCACCTGCCTCTGCCTCCCAAAGTGCTGGAATTACAGATGTGAGCCACCAAGCGCGGCTATTTTTATTTTTTGAGACAGAGCTTCACTTCTGTTGTCCAGGCTGGAGTACAATGGCACGGTCTCAGCTCACTGCAACCTCTGCCTCCCAGTTTCAAGCGATTCTCCTATCTCAGCCTCCCGAGTAGCTGGGATTACAGGTGAGCACCACCACACCCAGCTCATTTTGGTACTTTTAGTAGAGATGGGGGTTTCACCATATTGGACAGGTTGGTCTCAAACTCCTGACCTCAGGTGATCCACCCGCCTCGGCCTCCCAAAGTGCTGGGATTACAGGTGTGAGCCACTGCACCTGGCCCTGTATTTTTTTGTAGAGACGGGGTTTTGCCATGTTGTCCAGGCTGGTCCCCAACCCCTAGGTTCAAGCGATTGATCTGCCTTGGCCTCCCAAAGTGCCAGGATTACAGGTGTAGGCCACTGCACCCAGCCCAGATTAATTTTTCTGAAGTCACACAACTAGGTAAGTTAGCAAAACCAAGAGTTAAACCTAGGCATCCGAGTCCCTGCCTTCAAGCCTGGGCGTTCAACACTGTACTATATAGTCCTGCTGTAGGAACCTATTCTGGCCCAATGGCAGACTTGAGGCTGAGAAAAGATTCAGAAGGCCTGCCAGTGTAGCTAAACATTTGTGTGTGCAGCCCTGTCTCTGTGTAACTTCTGGCTTGCCTTCCTATTTCAGGTCTCTGCTGCTGACGAAGCTGTGACCAAACGCACCCAACCCTTGGCAGCCATCTGTCCCTGCAGCCATAGCCCACATTCCCATACCCTCCCTCTGCTTGTTTCGGGACCATGTCTGTACAGCCTCCAGGCCCCAGCCCCGGAGGTGAAGGCCATGACATGACTCTGGTGTGCCCCATGGCATCCCCAGCCTAGCTCCCATTCCCACTTTGGCACAATGTTGGCCAACAGCTCCTCAACCAACAGTTCTGTTCTCCCGTGTCCTGACTACCGACCTACCCACCGCCTGCACTTGGTGGTCTACAGCTTGGTGCTGGCTGCCGGGCTCCCACTCAACGCGCTGGCCCTCTGGGTCTTTCTGCGCGCGCTGCGCGTGCACTCGGTGGTGAGCGTGTACATGTGTAACCTAGCGGCCAGCGACCTGCTCTTCTCCCTCTCGCTGCCCCTTCGTCTCTCCTACTACGCACTGCACCACTGGCCCTTCCCCGACCTCCTGTGCCAGACGGCGGGCGCCATCTTCCAGATGAACATGTACGGCAGCTGCATCTTCCTGATGCTCATCAACGTGGACCGCTACGCTGCCATTGTGCACCCGCTGCGACTGCGCCACCTGCGACGGCCCCGCGTGGCGCGGCTGCTCTGCCTGGGCGTGTGGGCGTTCATCCTGGTGTTTGCCGTGCCCGCCGCCCGCGTGCACAGGCCCTCGCGCTGCCGCTACCGGGACCTCGAGGTGCGCCTATGCTTCGAGAGTTTCAGCGACGAGCTGTGGAAGGGCAGGCTGCTGCCCCTCGTGCTGCTGGCCGAGGCTCTGGGCTTCCTGCTGCCCCTGGCGGCGGTGGTCTACTCGTCCGGCCGAGTCTTCTGGACGCTGGGGCGCCCCGACGCCACGCGGAGCCAGCGGCGGCTGAAGACGGTGCACCTCCTGCTGGCCAACCTCGTCATCTTCCTGCTGTGCTTCGTGCCCTACAACGCCACGCTGGCGGTCTACGGGCTGCAGCGAAGCAAGCTGGTGGCGGCCAGCGTGCCTGCCCGCGATCGCGTGCGCGGGGTACTGATGGTGATGGTGCTGCTGGCCGGCGCCAACTGCGTGCTGGACCCGCTGGTGTACTACTTCAGCGCCGAGGGCTTCCGCAACACCCTGCGCGGCCTGGGCACTCCGCACCGGGTCAGGACCTTGGCCACCAACGGGACGCAGGTGGCGCTCGCGCAATCCGAAAGGTCCACCGTCACCACGGACGCCACCAGGCCGGATGCCGCCAGTCAGGGGCTGCTCCGACCCTCCAACTCCTACCCTCTGTCTTCCTTCACACAGAGTCCCCAGGATTCCGCCCTCTGAACGCACACCATGCCACAGCGCCGTCCGTGCCCGACTCCCAACGCCTCTCGTTCTGGGAGGCTTGCAGGGTGTGCACACAAGAAGGTGGGCTGGGCACTTGGGTCTTTGGGTGGCAACTCCAGCTTAGCAACGCAGAAGAGTACAAAGTGTGGAAGCCGGGGGCCCGCGGAAGGCATTGATGCTGGAAATGGCTTCTTTAAACTGTGAGCACGCAGAGAACCCCCGTCTCCAGTGGTGGGAAGTGATGCAGAGAGCCCACCCGTGCAGAGGGCAGAAGGGGACGAAATGCCTTTGGGTGGGCGGGGAATTAAACTGCTAAAAGCTGGTTAGATGGAACAGAAAATGAGCATTCTGGATTTAAACCGCCACAGGGGCCTGAGAGCTGAAGAACCCCAGGTTTGGTGGACCATGCTACTGAGATGCCTGTTCATCTGCTGACTTCTGTCATGGATGCCACCCACTTTCATTTCGGCCTAGGCTTCCCCTGCTCACCATTGAGGCCTAATACAAGAGTTCCATATAGACAGAACTAGGTTCTTTCTCGCACAGTGACTTGTGACAATTTAGACCTGGCACCCAGCATAGGACAGTTGGGGCAAGGCAAAACTGGCTTAGAGTTTCCTCCTCGCCAAAATCCAAGTCCAGACCCTTTTTAGGTTATCCTTTCTTCCATCACTCCCCCTTTTCCAGGCCTCCTCCGTTTTAGATCCTTAATATTCTCTCTCTCTCTCTCTGCTTTGTCCAGAGTAAGGAGAAAATTCTTTCTACTAAAGCATTGGTTCTCAAACTTTTTGGTCTCAGATGCCACTCTTGGAAACTGAGGATCTCAAACAGCTTTGCTTATCTTTTGATACTTACCATACTAGACATTAAAGCAAATACATTTTTAAAATAAATACACATGCACACATTCTGTTAGCCACGAGAGCAATAATGTCACCACACACACTTCATGAAACCTCTGGAAAACTCTACAGTATACTTGTGAGAGAATGAGAGTGAAAGGGACAAATAATATCTGTGTAGCAGTATTATGAAAATAGTTTGACCTCGTGGACTCCCTCAAAGGGTTGGTCCCTGGATCACACTTTGAGAACCACACTTGTCCTGAAGTATTAGCGTTCATGTCTAACTTCTTCCCAGGGCATTATGTACAGTGCTTTCTATTATTGTGGGGAGAGGGCAGTGCTAAATAAATTAATCAATTCTGATAGTCTTCATGTCTTGAGGTTTTCCTGCGGCCCTAGGAGTAGTACATACAATGGAACACTACCTTGGGCATATCAGAGCAGCAGCCCTGGGGCAGGGATGGAGACTGGGGTGGAACTAGTCATATGCTGAGGGAGAGGGAATGGGGCTTCTCTGGGGGAGGAAAAAGGGAACTAAGAGAACTGTGCCATAGCCAGGAAAGAAGAGTTTATGGGGAAGTTAAGAGTGAGATGGAAGGACAGGAATAGGCTGTCCATTCTCAGCACGCTGGAAGCAAGGGAAATGGGCCATCTACTATTCCTTCCTTTTTTTTTTTTTTTTTTTTTTTGAGATGGGGTCTAACACTGTGGCCTGGGCTGGAGTGCAATGGCGTGATCTCGGTTCACTGCAACCTTCGCCTCCCGGGTTCATGCAATTCTCCTGCCTCAGCCTCCCAAGTAACTGGGATTACAGGTGCACACCACCAAACCCAGCTAATTTTTTGTATTTTTAGTAGTGATGGGGTTTCACTATGTTGGCCAGACTGGTCTCGAGCTCCCGACCTCAGGTGAATCTGCCCGCCTCCCAAAGTGCTGGGATTACAGGCATGAACGACCGCGCCCGGCTATTCCTTCCCTCTTTACCCAAGTTGGGGGCTCGGAGGGGCTGCAGAGTTGGCACTTGTGGACATCTTCAGACCCTGACATTACTGAGGGAGTTGTTGCTCTGTGTGCATCCTACAGCATTTCTGACCCTATGTCTCAATACTGTATCTTTATATGTGTGTGCGTGCACTGTGTGTGTGTGTGAGAGAGAGAGAGAGAGTGTGTGTGTGTGTCAGGGTTCTCCATTTGTGTCTGTATATTTTAGTCCAGGGTAGCCTTTTGTGTGTGCCTTTATGCCAAGTGCTCCAGACGGTGATTTACAGGGGTAAAATGACCCCTGGTGGCCAAATGAGAGAACTGACCCAGATTCGTCAGGGATAGCCATGAAATCTGGGCCTTTCTCCATCTGGATGGAGACTGGAGTCTGGAGCCCGGCACTTACCTCCAGCCACTGTGGAAGAGGCCTATTGATTAGCACCTGCTCCATCTCTCTTCATCTTCAGGGTTCAAGATCTGTGCCCTTCCTGTCCTGAGAGCACCGGCAGCACAAAACCTCGTAGTCCAAAATCTTAGCACTTTGCCCTATTCAAACAGAATCAAACACAATTTTTAAAGATTACTTGAGTACTTTTATAGGCAGGTATGTGAGTTCCAAAGTGATTACAACTCACGGCATGTATCACTTTCCAACATACCATATAATTTATTTATTCTAATTTTTATAGTTTATCATCTCCGCCACCCCGTCCTATATCCTAGGTAGAATGTAAGTTCCGTGGGGGCGTGGATTTTTCTTCGATTCTCTGATGATCCCCAGCATCTAAAACAGTGCCTGGCACAGAGAAAGTGCTCAATAAATATTTGTTGAATGAATGAACAGTCAGATCTTGCTGTGAAGTAGTTTACAATCTAGTGGGAACCATAGAACAAGTAAACAAAAACTATAATGCCAGGCAGAAAACACAAGAATGCAGCGTAAGGTATTGGCAGTTGGTTTAGTGGGCAATGGGAAGCCCACGGAGGCTCCTGAGTGAGGTTTTGCTCACACTGACAAACTGTGTGGAATAAGCTGGAGGAAAATGATTGGTGGGGAGAGTCTAAGGAAAAGACAACTTGTCAGGGAGCCATTACAACAGCTGAGGGCGGCCAGGTGCGGTGGCTCATGCCTGTAATCCCAGCATTTTGGGAGGCCAAGGCGGGCGGATCACCTGAGGTCGGGAGTTCAAGACCAGTCTGACCAACATGGAGAAACCCCGTCTCTACTAAAAATACAAAATTAGTCGGGCATGGTGGCACATGCCTGTAATCCCAGCTACTAGGGAGGCTGAGGCAGGAGAATAGCCTGGAACCTGGGAGGCGGAGGTTGCAGTGAGCCGAGATTGTGCCATTGCACTCCAGCCTCGGCAACAAGAGCAAAACTCCGTCTGGAAAAAAAAAAAAAAAATAGCTGAGGACAAGTGTGACCATGGCCTGTGGAAGAGCTAGATGGCAATACGTTGTCTCTGATGTGAAATCTCTGGTGTCAAAGCCCTGGTGGGCTATTTTCCCCCATTCAGATATCCAAAGGCTTTCCATCAAGAGAAGAGAGAGGCAAGAATAGATTAGGCTATTTTCATAGGGTTCCCAAGACTAAGAGAGCAGTATGAAGTCCAGAACCCTCACCCCCTGTCCTGGAGCTGCTCCATTCAAGGTCTAGGAAAATCCAAAGACAGAGAAGGGGAAAATCTTAGATGGAAGGGAATGAGCATTAGCAATTTTTGTTGTTGTTGTTGTTGCTTTTGAAATGGAGTTTCACTCTTGTTGCCCAGACTGGAGTGCAGTGGCATGGTCCTGGTTCACTGCAACCTCCGCCTCCCAGGTTCCAGCTATTCTTGTGCCTCAGCCTCCCAAGTGGCTGGGATTACAAGCGCCCGCCACTGTGCCTGGCTAATTTTTGTATTTTTAGTAGAGTCAGGGTTTCACCATGTTGACCAGGCTGGTCTTGAACTCCTGATCTCAGGTGATCCACCCACCTTGGTCTCCCAAAGTGCTGGGATTACAGGCGTGAGCCACTGCGCCCAGACTTTTAGCAGGTTTAAAAAATACTCTTCTGTATGCCAAGATTTCAAGTTAGTGTTTAAGATGCATTATCTTCTTTATTATATTAAATAATATAGTCTGAGTTAGAGACGATGTTCATCCCTTTTACAGAAGAATCACCCTGGAGAATCTGAGGTCTTAAGGTCACACAACTAGGAAGTGGCTGGATCTGTATCTGGCTCCCAAACTCCTGCTTTTTGCAGTACACCTCTCCTTCCTGGGACTTTCTTTCCTGTTACAGATCACCCGGGTTTCCTTCCTTCTCCTCCCTTCCTCATGTAGCCACCTCTTTCAACTGCCTGGCTTGCCTTGAATCTGCTGCGTCATCTTGGCCTTCCTCTTCCCAGTTCTTCCTCCATGCTCCTAATCCACTTGCCCCTACAGCACACCCACCCCTTCACTCTCTGTTTGTCTCAGCTCCCTGTTTATCAAACACCATGTGGCTGCAGGGGTTGGGGGGGTTGAGAGCCGGCTCACTCAAGGTTCCAATTGTGTTGGACCCTAAAATACACCCCATCGAGGGCCCACACACAAGCAAGATGCCTTAAGACTTCATGCAGTTGGCCATGACTCCCCTCCCCCAGCTTGTGATGTACCCAACATCTCCAAGGCAGCACTCCTGATTGTCTACACTGAGCAGGGACCATTCTTTGGTTCGCCCTTCCTCAAAGTCTGTCTCCTCTGTAGGATGGTCCCTCCAGGTGGTGAGAGTAGCTGGGAAGAGTAACAACCATTAATTTTATTTTATTTTATTTTTTGAGACAAGGTCTTGCTCTGTCATCCATGCTGGAGTGCAGTGGTGCTATCTCGGCTCACTGCAACCTCCACCTCCCAAGTTCAAGTGATTCTCCTGCCTTAGCCTCCTGAGTAGCTAGGATTACAGGCATGCACCACCATGCCCAGCTAATTTTCGTACTTTTAGTAGAGACGGGGTTTCACCATGTTGGCCAGGCTGGTTTTGAACTCCTGGCCTCATGTGATCCTCCTGCCTCTGCCTCCTAAAGTGCTGGGATTACAGGTGTGAGCTACCACACCTGGCCACAATCATTGATATTAAAAGAAATTTAGGAGCGCCAGGGCAGGGGTAAGGGATACCAAAGAAGAGCAGAGATTCTTCCTTCTTGGTCCTCAACCATCTTGAGGATGGAATTCCCTCGAGGCTGCCATCTGGGGTCCCATGGAAGAAATGGGGAAGGGAAGGTTAATCTCACACAGGAAGGCCCTGGACAAGCTGGGGTAGTTCTCACCATGTCCTTGCCGGAGGAGCATGGGAAGTACTGGAAGGTGAACTTTCTCACTCAGGGTTTGGGGAATCCCAAAGGCTCCAGAACTTTGGAATCAAACAAATCTGGGCATGAATTTCAACTCTCTCACTTCTTGGCAATGTGGCTTCAACAAATTTCTTGACCTCTCTGAGCCTCTGTTTTCTCCCATTTCTCTGTGAAATGGGGCTCATAATATCCACTTACTGGGTTATTGTGAGGGTCAAGGAGCCCACCTTTGAAAGGTACTCTAGAGGCCCCATAAGTGGGAACACCTTCTTTCCAACATGAGCATGGGGAGGCAAGGCCATTGATAAACTGCCAGTAATGCCCAACGCGAGTGTTTCCGGAAGACGTGAAGGGCTCCAGGTGAATCCTCACCCAGACAGAGCTCTGCCAGCCATCAGAACTAGGACCACGGGAGGTGGTGAACAAGGCAGGCTGGGCAGGTTTCCACGGTGCCAGGTCAAGCAGGCAGTCTTTAGGGGCAGCGACTGGCCTGTTGCCCTCTGGGGGCACTCTCTCCCCACTAGGCCCATGTCCATCCCGTAGACCAAGGAGGAGGTGGAAAAGTGCAAGACAGGGG